AGATGGTTAGCATATATGATGAGGAAAAAACAAAAATCTTGTACTATAGAAAAAATAGAATACAAAGGTAAAGAAGCTTACCAACCGGATATGATTAAAAAGGCTTTTTTAGAATTTTATACAAGACTGTACACTGGTGATAAAATACAAGGTTTAGACATAGATAGATACTTGGAGAAGGAGAAAACCCCTATAGTTACAGATGAGCAAATACAGGGTATAAACATTTAGCAACCATACACTAAAATAAACTACCTAACTTTAGCATCGTCCCTCGCTTGTACTTTAACTCCCCTTTTGTAAAGCTAACTTTAGATAAGTTGTAAAGGTTCCTTTCGTCCGAAGTTATTGGTTGGTTCAATCTCTCCCTTTGCTCATCTGTAACTATAGGGATTTCCTCTTTGTCCAAGTATCTATCTATGTCTAAACCTTGTATTTTATCGCCAGTGTACAGTCTTGTATAAAATTCTAAAAAAGCCTTGTTAATCATATCCGGTTGATAAACTTCTTTACCTTCATATTCTATTTTTTTCTATAATACGAGATCTTTGTTCTTTCCTCGTCATGTATGCTAACCATCTACCTGGTTTATTTGCATTGCAAAAAGTATTATGTTTAGCATATAGTAAATTAGTAAATTAGTATCTTGTCTTTTTATGGACACTGAGAGCGTGTCCAATCACACTTGGCCAATAAATAAGACTAGTCTAGTCTATTCCTATCCTATACACAAGGACAGCCCCCCCACCCCATGCCATTACTATGCTAAACAACCAATCCCCAGAACACTGTCAAATTATCTACTAAGACCATATTACTATTATTCTTCTCTTCCTAGTGCCTATCTATCTCTTTCCACTTAGGACTATAACCATGTTGCTTGTATCTTTACAATTTATATTGTTCCATTTGTTTCCTAGTATCATTTGATTGCTTATTAGTAACCTATGACTATCACCCTGTTGTATCTTAATGATTCTTGATGAATGTATTCTATTTTATTTTTCTCTATGTACATCGAAAACATATGCACCAAAGAAAAATTCCTTGTGTGCCCAATCGTACTTGGCCAATGAAGAATTCTATTTTTCTACCCAAGAAGTTTTCTCTTAGAAAAAAAATTCTACTTAATGTTTTCCCCCCACTCTTCTTAGGTAGAAATTCACCAGGTGGAGTTTTCTTTTGAACTGCCCAAAGAGGCTTGGAGGTTGGGGGAAGACTTTGCTTAACATGGATTCTGCCCAGCTTTTAAGGAGTAGCTTTTGAGTTGGGAGGGGGGCACGGCTGTCACTTGGAGTTGCTACTCTAATGCAATCACAGCTGGTTTCCTGGCTTGGAGCCGAGCTAAAAATAGCGAGAAAGAAGAGATGATTGCATCTGACTTAAAATATAAGGAGATAGGAGAAGTTTGGAAATGGGCTTCCTCTCTGTACCAAGCCCCAATCATCAACTTGAATTGATTGCATTGAAAATACAATGGCTGAAATTGAAAATACAGCCAGGAAGTGTCAGTAATTTTGCTGAAATAGTTGGGAAAGTCAAAAATGACCCCTGATCTGGCCTGGCCTCTCAAGATTTTCATGCTTAATCTGAAATGTCAAGACTGGATTATTATTATTATTTCTTAATCCATCTTAAAATAGTCCTTAGAATGTGGGAACAGGTGAAGGAATCTCTCTTTCCTTCAGGATTCCAGCTGGGACTTTCAGCCCATGTCTGTTTTGCCCTTAAACAGAAGTTGCCCATAATGATCTAAGGGCCTAATCCACCCCTATTTCATAATAGTCTGTGAGAATAGCGCATTTGATATATCCATACATAAATGACGTCCTTTACACATTGCTTTTTCATTCAGTCAGAATATTTGTAGGTAGTCAGATTGCAGAAAACCTTAATATGCCCTGTGGAGGTTTCTTGTCATCCAGGTCAAATGTGCTTTTTCAAGTGGCAACTAACTGAATGTCCTTGTATGGGGTGTTTTTTTTTTGGGGGGGGGGGGGGGGGAGATGTTTCACTTCTTATTCAAGAAGCTTCTTCAGCTCTGAGAAGTGAAACATCTC